TAAAAGTAACTTAGTTATCATAATTATTTCTTTACGCAGGCATTAAAGCCGAATTATTTTGAGAATTTTAGAATTATTTCAAGCATTTAAAATAATTGGAACAAACGACATAAATTAGAAAGAGAGAACATGACATTTCCACTACAGTAACAAAGATAGACAGATACAAAATTATTTAAACAACATAGAACATGGTTGAAAACCAGATAATTAATTCAAGAACATTATTTACTAATTATTTACGGTCCAAATTAATTATTTAAAGCATATACTACAGATTTGTTCCAGTTACGTTAAGGGGACATATACAATTAGGCGTGCGAAAAATCGATCATTTTCAAGAATTTTTTAAAGTAATGTACACGTGAAAAACATTTATTTTATTAATGTAGACATTTTATATAAGTATTATAGTACAAAAAAAAATTTTTTTTTAATTAAAATTTTTCAAAATGGCGGATGTGCAGTCTGTTGAAGTTCAGCTCGATTTTCATTGGCGAGCACTCTAGCGTTTTAAAAATATGGAATCTGAAACAAAATCAATACAAAATATAATTAATACATATATAGCTTCTATGTGAACCTAAATTTAGCTAAAAAGAAGCGCATTAAAATATCTTTAAACTTGTTTTTAAAAAAAAAGTCAATTTTTTCCTATAGTGAATTCTAAAAAAACTGTCCAAAAAATTATGTCAAATGTTTTTTTTCCCTTACAATTAGGTTCACATCAAAGGTAATAATGTTATAATTATTCCCAAAAAAATGCAGATCAATCGGTTGAATAGTTTTTGAGATATCGTGCTCGCCAATTGTGAAAATGTAGTTTCGAGAAAATCGCGTTTTAAGTTTGAGCAACAGAAAACCCAATAATAACTATTACTTACAGATCAATCAGCGATTCCAGCACCGTACAAAAGTCCTTCGGCTTCCTCGAATAACGCATTTTGGGTCAATAATCGGTCTGTTCGTGCTTTTCGAGCTTTTTTTGAGGCTGAATGGCTGCGATGCTCTTCTTGCGAAACGCGGATCTCGTCGCGCTTGTTGGCAAAGGACATACAATACGTGCCGATTGTCAATTCTAATTGTTGCATGACCCGTAGAATTGACGAAAATCCCTCATTGAAAATTCCTGCTGCCAAGTATGCTGCAATTTCCGTGATTTTAAGGCCGGAATTAAGATGTTTAGGGGCGATACGCCAAATTGTGGCATTGAAACTTTCGTTAGCGTTCTGTGTGTGGCCACCTAAACATCTCTGCAGCAAATCGTCGTTGGATAAATTTTCAAATATCGGGAATACATGCTCTTGAATATCTTTGTGCATTGGTGCAGGGTGCTTTAAACTTGATGGATCAATTCCACTTGCTTCTGCTTTGTTCCATTTACACCAACTGTCAACGCCAAGAGGGCAGTACTCGTGTCTTGGGTTTTCGTCCGTTGAAATCATGTGATAATACGTTGCTAAAATGGCATTCTTCATGTCTTCAACGCTGTTAATATTTCTTCGAATTGCAAGGCCGTAATAGAGACTGATTTTTTTTATCAAACCTTCAATTAATTTACCTCGTCCGCCAAGTTTATGATGTTTTTTCACGTTTCGAAGCCGGGTGCCCATTCTTTTTGCGACGTGACCGATACATTCATTTTTTGTGACTGGATTATCATCTCCATAAGGGTTTTCTTTAAGAATAGCATTAAACGTCTTGGAATCACCATCTCCTATATAATTTAAATATTTGACGCCATATTTTTCCTCGGAGGCTAAAAACATTTCCTTTATGGAATCGACCTCCATTTCGCACGCCGGTCATGAAATTTTAGGATTATATTCTGGATGAGTTATACTATCGATTTACGCAATAAAAAAAAACACGATTTTTTCATCGATCTAATTGTATATGTCCCCTT